ATAGCAAAAAATCCCCCCCAAAAAAAAAAAAAAAAAAAAAACAAGTGCCCAGGATCCAGGGGGATGGGCAGGGGATGTGGTGTGATCAGACCCTCAGGAAAGTTCCCCTTTCTCCCCCCCGTTTGTGCACATGAACCCTCTAAGAAGTAACGAAAAGGTGCTATTTATTTATTTATTTATTTATTTGTGGAGATATTTTTGCTATAGGATGAGTGCACTTGCCAGAGATAGACAGAAAGCCAGAAATCACCCCCTAGGCAAGATGGCCACGCCGCAGTCCCTTTTCCTCCATTCTCCTCTTGGGATTTTGGGCATGCACGCACATGCGCCCAGCATGAGTTTCAATCTCCAGGTCCAGGACTCAGATCTCGTCAGCCATGTAGGAGTCCAGCACCTGAACCACTACGCCGTCTGCTGGTCCCAGAAAGGTACATTCTGAAAACTGTGACGCGTTCCCGGGCTGCCCGCGGCTTCCTTCCCCTTCCTTCAGCACCTGCTTCTCCTGCCTTTCCTGCTGTTTGGCTGTCACAGTTGTCACTTTTTTCTTTCTCAAATCCTCTCAGTTTCCACAACCCTGTGCTCTTCTAATTTTCCTTTTTAAATTGCTCTTTCAAATTTCTTTTCTTCCTCCTCCTCCTCTTAAATAATGTAGTGACCTTCCCCAAGGTTCAGGCTTCCAGATTCTTCTACCCTGCCGTGTCTTGCCTAATCTGACGATTTGGCGGCTCCCTCTGAGGACATCCCTCTTACTTACCTCAGCGGTGACGTGGCCCAGTGCCCCGTCTGTTCACAGAGCTCTCGTCACTCAGGCTCTTAGTGCCCTGGCTGATCCCGCATTTCCGCTTTCCCCCTCATTCGGAGGCGAAGTCCTATCAGTTTTACCTCCAAACGAACCGTGTTTTCAGCACCTTTTTTTTTGTTTTTTTTTTTTTTTTTTGTTTTTTTTTTTTTGCTATAGGGCGCATGCGCTCGCCAGACAGACAGAGAGAGACAGAAAGTGAGAAATCACCCCCCCAGGGGGGATGGCCACGCCGCAATTCCTTCTCCTCTCAGGATCTTGGGCACGCACGCACATGCACCCAGCGTGAGTTTAAGCCACTGGGTCCAGGACTCGAACTGCGGTCGACTACGCGGGAGTCCAGCGACATAGCCATTACGCTAACTGCTGGTTAGCACCTTCTTTTTAATCACAAACACAATCCAAATTGGAGTCCTTACATTGCATGTCCCTGGAAATACTGCAGGCGCCCCCAGCCTCGTCCCTCTCCCCATTCCCCATTCCCACCTTACCGTGTGATTGCTGCAGGCTGACTTTTTCCAAAAGATAACCCTGCGTGTGCTGTCAGTGGTCTCGCCAGCCTGCAGAGTAAGGGCACTCTGCCGGCACTAAGGCCCTAGTCCAGCGTCAATGAGTAACGCCTCCCCTACCGTCCGTTTCTCTTGCTTTCAACGTTGTGAGACACCAGTCCGTGCCAGGCACTGTGCGTGGTGCCGAGAACACAAACACTCAGTCACCCCAGTCTCTTGCTGTACCCACAGAGTCGTCTGTATGGGGACTGGCATACCGACGACTAACTCAGACGCAATTTGAAAAGTGCTATGTGCCATTGAAAACGTGCACTCTCTCGTCCCAGGCTCTGTATGTGTTCACTGCCTACTCATAATTTTATATGATTGTAATTTACCCCAAAAATACACACAGGCCCACGTGGAGGAAGAAAGTGTACAGGCATCAGCTGGAGAGGCCGCACTGGCGTCGGACGGTTCCACGCGAGAAGTGATGTTCGGGTGGAGTGTGGAGATCGGCACACTGTGGCTGGAAACTGGGGCCCAGGGAGTTCTGGGCGCTTGCCCAGCGTGACAGGGAGGCAGGTGTGTGCAGAAGACAGGAAGTTCTGCGTGGCTTGCATTTAAAAGGGAGGGAGTTTGCGAGACAAGGCTAGAGGAGGTCTTGATCGCGAAGGGCTTGACTGGGACGAAGGGGAGTCTCTAGGCTTTGGACGGTCACTGAAGAGTTTCCACAGAGCCCTCCTGGGTCTCGAGTGGGTTTGTTAAATCAGTCTGGCCCAATACGAATGGTAACTCGGAAGGGGGAAATCAAAAGCAGAGAGACACTTAGGGTGCTTTTAACTGTTCCAAGCAAGAAATAGTGAAGCTCTCCCCCAGGGTGGGCGTCCACTTCCTGGAAATGACGAAACCCCTTCTTCCCGGTTGTTAGATGTTCGATCCTCCCTCTGCGTCCTGAGCCGCGCGCTCAGCCCGTGACCCGGACTCGTCACGTGCCCTCTCTTCCTGTAGAAGTCGCTCTTTTCTTGCGGCTTACTCTCGCCCTTTCTCTCCTGAGGAAGGCCTAGGCCTATCAGCTTCAAAACCCCTCTCAAACGGCAGTTCACCCCAGAGCCCTTCTGGTCTGCGTCCCTTTGACTCAGACTGTGCCCCGTGCAAAGCGATGCAGTGTTTATACATCCGTGGGAAGTCTGCCGTGTGCAGAGCAATGCTGTGTATGTTACTTAAAACAGTATTTTATTAATTTCTTTATGTCCTGAGACACACACACACACACACACACACACATGCACGCACACACGCACGCACACCCGGGTCTGGCACAGTCCAGTCTCCCCAGCCCCCCGGCAGTTCCAATTGCCGGTGAGCCTGGCGTGTTCAGGTCAGCCTGGGGTCTGAATCCAAGGCCTTCCCGTGTGGCTCCAGCATTACACAGTGGCACACCACTGTGGTGGAGATAGACAATACCCAGGATAATCCTGTCTTCAAAATAAAAAGAAGTGTTCATG